ATTTACTCTAATCACAACCACTCCACACTTCCTTAATTTCAACACAATGAAGGTATATTTGGAAAAAAATACAAAAATTTGTCTTGATTTTTGAGTGCGCCTTATATTTCAAAAAAATTGAGAAATCTTTATACGCCTTATATTTCAAAACGGAGGGAGTAGTTTTCTCACTATAAGCATTCGTCACTTTATTGTTTGCCTATTAATGTTGATAGGCAATATAATTTTTATTATATGGATATTTATATATATATAAGTGTAATATAGATGTCAATTTGAAATTCGTCCGGTGATGATTAATCTGACATATTGTAAATGAAAAAAAATGATAACAAATATGAATGTTATTAATTATTAATGTATACTTATAACTTTAATTAATCAATTATTTTAAGATTTTAAAAATTTTAATAGACATGAATAAAAGGTCTATACTCTATGCTACTCCAAATCACCAGTAAACACATAGAACTAATAAGTAATATAAATCCATATATAGGGATTACAAAGTGTCATAAGTAGATAAATAAATTTGAAAACTCTACATTTATACATTAGTTCGCAATCCATATTTATTTTCTCTCAAATATATGTACCGACCTCATGTCAATATAATGGACTACAGTACATTATTGAATTTTTACCGTTTGATTAACACACTCATATTGGTATAGGCATGTCTACGGTGGAGCGCAAAATAGAGGATAATTCCAATCCGATGCCATCGTCCTATCAATTTTCAATTTTTTTTTTTTTTTTTTTTCCTTTCGNATTAAGTCAAGTTCCAACTTATTTATTGACATTTAAGGAAATGAATTAGCTGGAGGTACATCAAAGGCAATCGGATCGAGTTTGAATTGGGAAAGCAGCTGGCAACTTAGACCGCAGGCCCCTACTTTTCGAATGAAACTTCCATCAGTTAAAAAAAATTAATGTATTAAATTAAGCCCCGAAAGCAAAATTATTTACATATTGATGATTATTGAAAACTTCTTGAGCTAGGGGTTGGAAAAAATTATAGGACTCGGTGGATTTAGCTGTGAAAACTAGTTGATTTCTAATATGTTAGATGATGAGGTTAATTATAATTAAGGTGGATTATTTGGAAAATTAGACAGAAAATAAGTTGAACATTGATAATTAATTGATAGTTGATAAGTTAATTTCGAGCTTCACTATTGAAAACTTATTTGAAATAAGGATTGAAATTTCATAGGAGCTAGGTAATAATCGATGGATTATTTTTATGGTTCTAGCTGAAAAAACACATTTTGTTGATACGTTAGATGATTGTTAATACATCGGATTTTTTTTTTTTTTGGGTAATTTTGGTTGGTTGAAAATAAACTTAAAGATAGTTAATAAATTAATTTAAACTGATAACTAATGTTAATTGATTGGTAATTAACTAACAAAATAATTTCAAACTGAGAGCTAATGTTTGATAACTAAGGAGGGTGTATTCAATTGGGATTTAAAGTGATATTTTAAGACTTTTTAATATTTGAGATTTGTTAAGATTTTCAGATTTTGGAGAAATTCCATGAAATTTTAAGTCTGGAGGTGGGATTTCAACTAGGATTTCGTATATGTTTTTTATTTAGAAATCCCACAAAATCTTAAAAAGTCATAACAAATCCTAGTGTCAAATAAATTAAATACCTCAGAATTTTGTAAGACTTTTTAAAATCCCAATTGAATACCTCAAGACTTTTAAAAGTCTTAACAAACCTAAATTGAATACACCAGGATTTCTAAAGTTTTAAAAAGTCCTTAGAAATCCTAATTGAATACACCCCTCTAACTTAATACGTAAAATTATTTGGTGACATTAGCGAATAATTAAGTAAACAAAAATCTCAATGAGTAAATAGATATATCAATAATTATTTGAGATAAACTCGAATTTTTTAAATAAATTCATCATACTATATAAAATTATTTAAATAAAAGAAACAAATAACCCAATTAAATGAAAACCACCCTAATTTGACACCTATTAGTTTCTTAATTTCTTTTGCCACCTTGATTAATGCTACTTTCTGGCAGCCAATATCTATGGCCGACTTTCATCACAAACCAATAGGAAAGGGTCGGTCTGATATTGCAATAAAATAAATTTACACATTGTTTGATATTTTTACAAAGATTTGTCCCGACATTTTTTTTTTTTTTTCCGAGTGGATAACGTTTTTTCTTAAGCATAATCCACATTTTTCAACTATAATTTTTTATAGGCCCTTTGTAATTATTTTTATGTTAATTCTCTCTTTTCATATGGACACATAGGCCCACTATGAAAGAAACCCATTCTTTAAATTTGATGTTGATGTTTGTTGGTGGGAATATATATGCTTTGATATATAATATATTGATATATAATATATTGTCTCTCTATATTAAGTGTTTTTATTTAAAATTTCTAAGCACATGTCAATACATTTTCCTTGTTTATCACTAGTCTTGGTCTAGGTTCCTACTGCATCAGATCACTTTGAATTGCATATCACATACCAAGTTCTATTGCAAATTTGCAATTTACATAATCAATGTACAAAGGTTATGTGTATAAGTTGATATGATAAGAAACTAGCATACCATATATTATATGATATTTAAAGATTAAGATATGTTAATACGGTGACATGATGTTTTGAACTTTGAAGATCATGATATTTTAACATGTGACGAGTAAAACATGTCTAAGGTGAGTAGATGGACATTTACGTCATTTCATTTTGTATAACAAAAAAATGTCGGATCACGAACAAGCTAGACCCTATTGTATTTTTTAAAACACATAATTTTATGTTTTTAAAAAAATAAAAATAGAAAACAAGATTACTTAAATGTGTCAAAGTTGAGCTTGAATTTTCACGAACCCAAATTGTATTAATGAACAGTTGGTCCCATTGGTAACCTAACCTTTCTAACAGTACTATGCTATTTTTCAAATCTGGTTGTAATTGGAAAAAAAAAAAAAATATATTTAGTGCATAAATGCATTCACAAATTATTTTATGCAAGCAATCACTGTGCATTAGAATATAAAATGAGACTAAAATTTGCATTGAAAAATTCCGACCACGCTAGAAAGCGACGCCATTGCTGTAGCCTTCCTATGTAAGTCGCAATTACGTGTAATAACTAATAACAAATAAGCTTCAAGTGCTTGAGATATTTTACCTGGCAAGTGTGTGTTTTTCAAGAAATAAGCTCATTTTCTTCAGTTTATTGGGATTTGATCCATTTTTCTAATTTCTCTTTTTGGGGATTTTCGTGTATTCGTTTTACTGCAGAATATAATCGAAGAAACCCATCTTTTCATCTTCATTCGAGGTATTGTGTTTCATTTTTATTGCATTTTTCAAAATTTTCCCCCTTCAATTTGGCCCTTTACTTTGTTTTGTTCTGTTTTGTTTTTTACTTAGTTTTCTTTTAATTTTATTTGGAATTTGGGAGGTTTGCTCGTCCTTTTCCTATGTAAAGCTGTACATAAAAATCTTATCTTTTTGCATATTTTTGCTGTTTTTTTTCATCTTTGGAAGGGACGATTTGAAGAAAATATTAGTGGGTTCCTTTTTGGTTTCGTGACATGTACCATAATCTTTAAGGGGTTGACTCTTCTTCTTGTTTTGCTTCTCTATTTGTGGCATTAGCCTTTTTATTGCTTGCTTTAGATTTCTTTTTTCCTCTTTAGTGGTGTATTTATTGTAAAATGGAGGTCAACTTAATCATTCATGTGGAGAATTTTGAGGCCACATTTTTTTTTCTTCTTTCATTTAAAATGGAGGTGCTATACCAGACCATGAATATAACTAACTGCACACATTTTGTTCAGATTTTGAAGGGGCAGAAGGAGAAGAGTTTGAGCCTATCAAGTCAAATTTATCCCTGTAAGAACATTATGGTTTTTGTATTTTTTTTTTCTTCATACCTTAGCCTAGTTTCAATCCCTGTGTATGCTTTTGTGAGTATTTATGTCCAAACAAGTTTGGGGATGTTAAGGATGATATGATCATCATACTTGTGAAATTTTAGATGTCATGTAGCTCAACTTTTTGTGTGCTGTATATACTTCTTCTTTTTTTTTTTCGAATATGATTGGTTGGATTATGAAATCAAACAAGCAACTGCGCCCCTTTCTGAAAAAAAAATAAAAAATAAAAAATGATGAATTGGTCATTTTGTCTAACCTAGAGCCATGAAGGGCTTGTAGAGATTATCATGATTTATGTATGATTAATATCTATTAGAAAATGCTTATTGCTATCCTTTGAAAATCATCGTCGTTTATTTCCCTTTCTTTTTTTCTCCTTATTGTTTTCAGTTCTTTGCTGCAATTTATGCACTTAGGCTTATGTATGATAATCTCTCCCCTTCATTTAAGCTGATACAATCCAGAAAAATTCTGGGAGGATAAAATGCTTTATGATTCATGATTTATGATCAGAAAAAATCATGCAGAGACTATCATGATTTATGATTCATATCTATTAGAAAATGCTCATTGCTCCCTTTCTTTTTTGTACTCCTTGTTTGAAGTTCTTTGCTGCAATTCATGTACTTTTTTTTTTCTTTTTTCTTCTTCTTTTTAAAAAGAGGATCAATAATGGTTCCCCACTTACCCTTTGAATGACTCGAACTCGGACCTATTGGTGCCAAGTGAAGGGTGCTATATGATAATCTCTCCCCTTTCTTTCAGCTGCTATATTCCAGAAAAAATTCCGNAATCTCTCTCATTTCCCGGTAGCACAGAATCTAAACTTCCCAACAGCAAAAGCCCTTCAAATGGAGATACCTCGCACACTCACACTCAGCCCGAAACAAACTGCATTCAAGCCCGACAAATCATTCTCCCAAATGGGGACTCCTACACCGGATCACTCCTCGGGCTTTCTCCATCTGGCCAGGGAAACTACACTTGGCCTGACGGGTGCACATACACCGGCACCTGGCAATCCGGTTCCCTCCATGGCTACGGCAAACTCCATTGGCCATCAGGCTCGTTTTACGAAGGCGAATTCTCGGGCGGCTACATTCATGGCCCGGGCACTTTTACTCGACCAGATCTCACCAAATACGACGGACGGTGGAGATTGAATCTCAAGCACGGGCTCGGCCGCCAAAGATTCTCCAACGGCGATATTCTCGAAGGGTCGTGGATTCGCGGGACTCCCGAGGGGCACGTTCGGTATTTGTGGGCTAATGGGAATGAGTACAATGGGAATATGAAAGGCGGGAAAATGTCGGGGGACGGGACGTTGACTTGGGTCAACGGAGATACTTATGAAGGAAAGTGGCTAAACGGGCTTATGCATGGGTTTGGAATGTACACTTGGGCCGATGATGGGGGTTGCTATATTGGGACGTGGACTAAAGGGTTGAAGGATGGGAAAGGCACGTTTTATCCGAGAGGGAGTAAGAGTAAGGCGCCACTCGATGCTCTGAGAAAACGAGGTCTGTTGTTGTTGTCTGATTTGAGGAAAGAGAAGAGTCGGGTGAATAGTAATGACAGGCTGGCGAGGAGGTGGAGTCTTGAGGTGTCGATCGAGAGGGACTTGGGGAAGGATGACGAGGAGGATGGGGATGGGGATGGGATTAGTACGCCGATTTTGGAGAGGGAGTATATGCAGGGAGTTCTTATTAGTGAGATTGTTTTGAGTGATGTACTGATGTCACCATTGTCGAAGAGGAAGCAAAAGAGGCTCGAGAAAGATATTAAGAGGGTGGGCGAACAGATTATCAAAGGGCACAGAAGTTATGATCTGATGCTGAGTTTACAGCTCGGGATCAGGTGAGTTTTTGTCGAGGAAAGCCACTTGCTTATTGAGTGAGTTATTATTGAAGTTTATTTTTTTGGTGTTTTCTGGATGTATGTATATTGCTTACGCTGCGTTTGGAAAGCATATGAGGTAGCTTATAGCTTTTTTGGTTAGCTTATAAGTTTTCTATATTCAAATAAACTTCGTTTGGTAGGACGAGTTTTTTTTAACAAGCTCGAGCTTATCTGGTAAGCTTCTTCCTTGTGTAGCTTTTCAAATAAGCTCGTTAATTTTTTTTTTTTTTTTTATTTCAACTGATTTTACAAACACTTTTATCATATAAGCTAACTTTTCAGCCATAATCATAAGCTATCTATAAGCTCGAAATTCACTTAAAAGCTATAAGCTAGGTTATATCAGCTAAGTTTACCAAACATAGCCATAGCCGTAGTGAAGTTGGTGAAAGTTCATTTTTTTTGTGTGAGCAGATATACGGTGGGGAAAATTACTCCCATACATAGAAGAGAAGTTAGGGCTGCAGATTTTGGTCCTCGGGCGAGCTTTTGGATGAGCTTTCCTAAAGAGGGGTCGCAACTCACGCCTCCACACCAGTCTGAAGATTTCAAGTGGAAAGATTATTGTCCCATGGTTTTCAGGTTTCTTACATGTTACTGGCATCAGTTCGTTAATTATATAAGATTGTGAACTTTGAAAAGTATGTTTAAATTTCTCATGTTGTGTGAAAGTGAACTTTTTGCTCTCAATCAAGAAAAGTGATTTTCAGCTCCTGTAGGTGAGGAGGAACAAAGAAAGGGCTAAGTTTTTATTGCTTTTCATGTCAACTCAACTTTGTTTTGCATTTATTAGAGTTTTTCATTTGGTTTCTCTACTTACCTAATGTGTGTGTGTTTTTTTCCTTTTTATAGAAATCTGAGAGAGATGTTTAAGATCGATGCAGCCGATTATATGATGTCGATATGTGGAAATGATGCCTTAAGAGAGCTCTCGTCACCTGGAAAAAGTGGCAGCGTCTTTTTTCTGTCTCAGGATGACCGTTTTATGATCAAGACACTGAGAAAATCCGAAGTAAAGGTTCAATATCTAGACCGAAACTCAGTAC